CCTAATAAATGATGCAGTAAAGAACATTCTTGCAATTAACTTCTTAAACACATCCTTATTTGCTTGCAATACATTTTTTTTTTTTTTGAAATGGAGTCTCACCTGTTACTTAGGCTTGAGTGGAGTGGCACAATCTCAGCTCACTACAACCTCTGCCTCCTGCGTTCAAGTGATTCTCCTGCCTCAGCCTCCCAAATAGCTGGAACTACAGGCACCTGCCAGCAGGCCCAGCTAATTTTTGTATTTTTAGTAGAGGCAGGGTCTTGCCATTTTGGCTAGGCTGGTCTTGAACTCTTGCCCTCAGGTGATCCACCCCCCACCTCAGACTTCCAAAGTGCTGGCACTAGAGGTGTGAGCCACCAAGCCGGCCTGGCCTTTTGTTTTGTTTTAGACGGAGTCTTGCTCTGTCGCCCAGGCTGGAGTGCAGTGGAACCATCTTGGCTCACTGCAAACTCCGCCTTCCGGATTCAAGCGATTGTCTTGCCTCAGCGTCCCAAGTAGCTGAGACTACAGGTGTGCACAACTATACCCAGCTATTTCTTTTTTTTTTTTTTTTTTTGTATTTAGTAGAGATGGGGTTTCACCACGTTGGCCAGGCTGGTCTCAAACTCCTGGCCTTAGGTGATCCTCCCACCTTGTCCTTCCCCACTGCATCCAGCCTGCTTATGACACGTCTAAAAGAACTGCTGGGTCAAATGCACATGCTCAGGGCCTTTGATAGATTAACCAAACTGTACTCTAGAAAAGTGCTGCCAACATATACTCTCAGCAATATAAGCAGCCCCGTTTCTCTGAACCCTTGCCAGTATTATCAAGAAATAATCACTTGTTAAAATAATGCCTGAAGACTAAATTAATGTTTAACATGTTTTGTTACTTGTAAGTTGGGTTTACAATTAAGCTTTAAACTTTTATAGTATTACCACTCAAAGCTTAAGATTCTTATATGCATTTCAGATGAAGAAACTGAGGTCTAGTAAGTTATAAATCAGAGTCCTTTTAGTGTGATTTTTTGCCCTGGATATATCGCAGTGCTCTTTTTTAATTTGCCAGTCTACTTCACCAATTAAGCTTTTTTTTTTTTTGTAATAGCCTTACAGATTTCCCAGAAAAAGGTACACATCTTCATTATTAAGTTGGAGGCTAGGAATATCCTATTAGTTTAACACTGTTTTTCCTGTTGCCTAGATTGGATTTTACAAATTTTGTGTTAAGGAAATCTTTTGACATCTACTCATTTATTATTAAAAAAAAGTCTAGCTAATCTTGGATAAGAATTTTGTTCATTCATTTACTAATTTAACAGCACTTATCTAATGCCCATGATGTATGAAGGATAAAGCAGTGAACAAAAAGGTATAGTTTATATTTTTATAGGGTGAAGGGAGACAGAAAATAAACAATGAATAAAAAAGATAGCCAAGTACAGTGGCTCACGCCTGTAATCCCAGCACTTTGGGAGGCCAAGGCAGGCAGACCACAAGGTCAGGAGATTGAGACCATCCTGGCCAACATGGTGAAACCCCGTTTCTACTAAAAAACAAAAAATTAGCTGGGCGTGGCGGTACGTGCCTGTGGTCCCAGCTACTCGGGAAGCTGAGGCAGGGGAATCGCTTGAACCTGGGAGGTAGAGGTTGCAGTGAGCTGAGATTGCGCCACTGCACTTCAGTCTGGCAACAGAGCAAGATTCCATCTCAAAAAAAAAAAAAAAAGATAATAAATTATAAATGCTGTAAAAAAAAAAAAAATGGAGGGTCACGTGACTGATGGAGACTAAATGGGAAAGGGAGCTAGTTTAGATAGGGTGGCCAGGGAAGGGCTGTCACAAATACTTGGGTTAACCTGAAGGATGAGAATGAGTCAGCCACATACGAGACAGAAAAACCACATCCCAGGCAGAAAAAGAAGAAACGAAGAAAGCAAGCGCAAAGGCCCTGAGGCACAGTATCAGGTAAGATGAAGTTCGGTTGAGAACAAGAGACCCAAAAATAGTGGCTTTAATAAGACAGACATTTACAAGTGCAGGGCTGGCATGGTGCTCTGATCTACGAAGTCCTCAGGGATTCTGGTTTCCACCAGCTTAGTTTTACCATCTCTAGAATGAGAGAACTTGCATGAGACACAAATTGGCAGCTAGAGCTCCAAGCCATCACATCTGTATTCCAGGCTACAGGCTAAAGGAAAAGCATCGTTGAAGGTATACACCAACTATCTCTTAAGGATGTTTTTACAAGTGTGTCACATGATCTATTGCTTATATCCCATCAGCCAGCCCTATTACATGGCTACAAGGAAGGCTGGAAAATATAGTCTTTGTTTATGGTATCCATGTCTATTACTATGAATAAAATGGAGAAGTTTTTGGGGACAACTACCAGGCTCTGCTACAGACTAGAAAGAGCTCAGTACACGACAGGAAGGAGGCCAGTGAGAAGGGTGAGAACAACTTCCCGTGCTGCTTCCCGGGAAGTTGGAGAAGTGAGCAAGAGCCGGATTATGCAGTCTTGAAGGCCATGATAAGGAATTTAGATTTCATTCTGTGTGCATAAGGAAGCTATCCGAGGGCTTTTTTTTTTGAGACGGAGTCTCGCTCTGTCACTAGGCTGGAGTTCAGTGGCTCGCTCTCGGCTCACTGCAACCTCTACCTCTACCTCCCAGATTCAAGCGATTCTCCTGCCTCAGCCTCCTGAGTAGTTGGGACTACAGGTGTGCACCACTATGCCCAGCTAATTTTTTTTTTTTTTTTTTTTTTTTTTTTTTTTTTTATTTTTTAGAGATTGGTTTTTTTTTTTTTTTTTTTGTATTTTTAGTAGAAACCGTGTTTCACCATGTTGGCCAGGATGATGTCGATCTCCTGACCTCGTGATCCGCCCACCTCAGGCTCCCAAAGTGCTGGGATTACAGGCGCGAGCCACCACACCTGGCCACTATTGGAGGGTTTTAAACAAGGGAGTGAGTGACATAACCTAGTAACATTTTTTTAAAGGATCACTTTGTTTGGTATTCAGAGAATGGTTTGAATGAGAAAATTTTCATGAGAGTACAGAGAGAAAGTGAAGGCAGCTACTATGGATATTGCTGTGGTCCACCAAGAGGCAATGGTGGCTCTCAAAGATTGCAGTAGTGGAGGTGATAAGTAGCTTAATTCGGAATATAATTGTGAGGAAGAATGGATGCTACTGTTTGATGAGTTGTAGGAGTGTGAAGAATCACAGAAAATTCCAAGTTTTATGTCGAAGCAAGTAAGTGAATGGTGGTACTATTTATGAAAATCAGGAAAACTAAAGGAGCAACGGATTTAGAGAGTGAACAAAGGGGATTCAAATGTTTTGGAAACATTAGAGAAGCCTGTCCTTTTTATCCTTTGCCATGACAAAATTTTCAGTACTATCCATACTTTCCTAAATATGGGTGGCCTCCTTCTTCTACAAGTTATACACAAACTCATTTTTCCCTTAATAGGTAATTTTTTTCCTCAAAGTCTGTAATTTTTACATAAAGTGTACAGAGAATTTAACATAATGCATATTTTGAAAAGACACATGACATGTACCTATTAGTGTGGAGTACTTTTCAGGTAAAAGTAAGAAAATCTATCAAAGTGTAGTTAAAAAAAAAAAAAAAAAACTACCAAATGGGCAAACTTGATTAACATTACCAACAAAGATGAAGTTTTTGATGCAACAGGACAATTTAAAAAATATACCATTTATTGAGTTCTTACTAGAAAGTCATAAATATAAGCCTTTAACAAATGCTAGCTCATTAAATACCTAAAATACCCTCTAAGGGAGGTATTAAACAAATTTTAACAAATTTATAATAGATTTGGCACTAATAATGGGACAATTAAAGGCTTGTTCTTCAACATGGCTTAAAGTGAATTCATCCTAAACAAACAGTGCTCAGTATGAAATACTGAAATAATAGTTATCAGTGTATTTTCTCCTAACCCACACATTAATTATGAATGTTGTTCTATCTCTTCCAGTAAAATACTCAAGGTAATAAAGCTCTCAAATCAGACTTATACCCTCTGGAAGTCATTTCCATAGAAGCATATCCAATCTTTTAACACACCATCTTATGTTTGTAGATGTTAACATGTGAGGAAGAGAAAGCAGGAGGAGGAAGGAACTATTTGGGTAAGACGGGGAGAAAGGAAGGAAAGGACACAAATGTGTTGTTCCTTCTCGAATTTTCCTGAAGGGAAAAAAACAGTGAAGTAGAATGTTTGATGAAATGAATAACCAAGCATAACATTTTATATCTGCACCAGCACCATTAGGAGTTGAAATAAATCCAATGTCTGCTGATATGTCAAAACACCTTACCTTCAAAAACATGACGGTTTTACGGTATGCTTGTGTTTCTTGCTATTTCTTGCTTTTGACCCTCAAATGATAAATTTAAATTGGATTACAGTGATTCTTTTGTGAGGAAAAGGTGACTTTTTAAAAGAAACAATCAAGGGAAGTAGAAATTTTATTTCAAATTAACTTTACATGAATTACTCAAATAGGAATAATTATCACATTATGAAACTACACAATTCCAAAACACACATGCAGAGGCTCTTTTTAAGTCCAAAATGTCTAGTAATTACAAAAAAAGGTGAAGAGCTTACAGATATACAAAGGAATAAAGGGGAATTATTGCAACGAAAACAAGTTTAATTTTACTTTGAACGACGATTTTTCTGGAAGGCAGATATTTCACTCCTTTAAGTTTCCACCCAAGCCACAATAATTTCAAACGGTCTTGCGGATGCCCAAGATGGTCACTTAGGTTTATGTGGGGACTGGGGGGAATGAGAGTCAGAGAAAGTGCTATAAACCTAATTTGGCTAGAGCAAGTTCACAGGACAGTGCTTTAAAAACCTGCTCTCCATTATATACTTCCTCCTATCAGGTTGAAAAAAAAAAAGGTGGGGATGATGAGTAAATACACCAGTAGTTTCACCAGAGGAGAACTCACTACTCAGGAGGTGACGGTGACGTGCTGCCGGTCCCTGAAGTACGCGCACACTCTCCGGAGGTTGCGGCAGCTGAGCGGGGAAACAGGGACGCGGTCAGATTCGCTCCAGGTGGCGGGAGTGAAGAGGGGAGGAGTGAGGCGACGGACGTGCGGGGGCGGGGTGTCCAACACAAACACAAACACGAACACGCTCAGCGTCCCCGGGGAGGGCGGACGACGCCACCTCACCATTCATCGCCCCTGGACCCCGCGGTTCCCCTCGGACCCAGGGCCAGAGCCCTGTGCGAAGCAACCTGGCCTCAGTCAAACGGAAGCGGCCGCAAAAGCCCCGCTCTAGGTAACGGCTGCGGTGGAGCAGCGAACCTCCCTGTGAATCGGTGGGAGACAAGACGGAACAGCAGTGAGGGCGGTAGAGGAGTGTAGTGCCTCTCCTCACCTTGTTACAAGCGCGCTGGAAGCAGCCTACCCATCCCACCGCTGTCAGCTTTGCAATCGCCGCTCCCACCTTCCGCCGCCGCCTGGAGGGAAGCCGGAGCGACGGGGGTCACGGCGGCGGTCAGAGGGTAAAGGTCTTGCTCCCAGCAGCCTTCGCGGTGGATACGTCGCCATCTTGGATCCGCGGGACAAGAAAATTCATGCGGTGAGTTTTTGGTAAATTTTCGGAAGTCTGGCAGCGGGGCGTGCGGCGGGGGCGGCGGATTCGGGGCGCCCGCAAGGCTGGGGAGTGTCCCGGGGCCGGTCCGGTCGCGCCCGGGGTCCGCCGGTAGCGTCCCGGCCCGCCGCTTCCCGTTGCTTTTGTCTCGGCTCCAATCGAGAGAGGGAGAGCGGAGCGGGCGGGGAGGGGGGGTGGCGGTGGTGGAGGGAGGGAGGGGGTGTGTATGGGGGTGGTGGTGGACGGGACGTAAAGCGTCGCTGTACTCGGGCCGCTGCAGCAGCAGCTTCAGATCCTAGGCCCGGTCCCATCCGCGAGTGGCGGGGCTTTCCCAGACTCCACTCCCCCAGGCTCCCGCCAGCGCGAGGAGCCTCTGCTGCCGCGCTGCTTCCTGGGGAAGAAGAGAAGGCGGCAGCGGCCGTGGCCGAGGAGCTCGAGCCCCCTTTAGACGGCTCTGCCGCTTTCCCAGCAGCTGGTGCTGTCTCTGGTTTTTTACATTCTCTCAATACACGTATATCATCTGCCAATTATGTGTATTTCTGTTAGTGTAAGTGTCAGATGGGGGACACTGGACTGGCTAACGGGTGTCTGGAGCCTGCAGGCCCTGGGATACCGAAGGCTGTGCATGGTGGAGGGAGAAGGAATGCAACTGCGATGCTGCCTTTGCCACCGCACCGGGAAGGTGAAGCTTCCGTAGTGTTGTAGACTGGGTCCGGATGGTCCTGGGGTGGCGGAGGAACCACAGACGCTTCTGTCTGTGAAGTTGCAAGCCCTAGGTTTGTACTTCCGCAGGGGCCTCTCCACCTTTCGCTGTCGTACGTCTCGCTTAAAAGTTTAACAGAAGAAAAGGGTCGGGTTAAAAGAGGCCTTTGTAGTTGTTAATTGAGGCACTGTTGTCTGTCCGGGAGAAAGCTGATAACTCTTGGTAACTGTGGTCCTTAGCAAAAGCGAATTGTAGTTTTCTTTTATACAAAGTATTTCCAGGGTTTTAGACTTTGTATTTAGTCCAGGCCTGTAGATACGGTATTACCACCACAAAAGTCTTACATAAGGGTACCACCCTCTCAGAAGGAACCTAAACATCAACTTCCTTCGACTCCTTGGAGACATCTTCACTTTTCAACATCCGGAAGACTAAGTGCAACATATTTTGTTTCATTTTCATAAAACTCTTGGTCAGAGAATCCCAATCCTTTTAAAATCATTTGAGCAGTTCCTCATGATTAAGTACACTGATTTGAACCCTTAGATTCTGGGCAGAATGGTAAAAAGTAGTCAGTTAACGAGGGAGGCCATACTTGAATTTAAGGTTCAAAATTGAACACAGTTTGTGTCATGCTTGCTAATAGGAATTTTTAGAGCTCAGAATCATAAGTGTAATTCTTGATTTGCCTTTTGAAGCAATATAAGTGGAGAGGATAAAGTATGGGGTGGGGGATGAGATAGAAATTTTAAAGCATCCATTTATATACAAGCTTTATGTTGAGTTTGGAAATACTTGGTATACTTGACAACAGTTCTTTCCAAACATCAATGAATACATCTCTTACAATTTTGTAAGGTAACTATCGCAGATTGAAAGGGTTAACTAAGAATCATGGTGGACTGAAATGGTTAAGTGTTTATATCCTAGTTCATTGAAATGTTTTATAATGGACCAAGATAATTAGTAAGCTCTGTATGTTGAATTTGCTTAGATTGTAGTTCTTTTGTAATATTAAATCTAAAGAAAAATACAAAATACACTTAAAGACAAAACACTTTCCACTCTACTCACTTATTTCTTGACTTTGTAAGATCCTTATATAATTGTTAAAAAAAAAAAAAGGCACTTTTCTCTCGTACTTTGAGAGCTTGAATTGTAATAATTTTTGTGAATACTTTGTGTTTTAGAGAGGAAGTGAGAAACTCTACTAAACTTTTTTCCATCTTGATTAGTGCTTCATCAATACAAATAAGTCAATGTAAACATCTGCGGGCAGGAATCCTTTTCTAAGTATACAGTGTAGAGATATCTGCAAACTAATCTTATCTAAAGGAATGAGAATTGCCTGTTTGTTTAACCAACCAACAAGTACAGCCTATACAATTTTTCAGTTTCTATAATACTTTATATGCTGGAAAAAATGAGGGCAAAATGCATGTGTGTGAGTGATTTATATCCCTTTTGTCGGAGAAGTACCTGATCTTGAAGATAAAACTTAGAATGTGGCTTATCTTATGATGCTGGACAAAAAAACAAAAAACAGCTCAGAATGATACAACTTCCTGTATACCTCCCTACAAGAACTAATTACCTTTGTTTTGCTTTATAACTTTGGATGTTTAACTTTCTGATTTTTCAGAGATGCTTTATGGTTATTATAACCTGAAAATTTTTTGTTCAAAAGTAAATAAAAATTTCAGGTGTATGAATAGACATTATTAGAAGTGCTTCTAACCCAATTCTCGTTTGTATTCCTTTATTAGACATTGGTATTAAAAGTACCTATATTTTGAAAGACCATTGCAGAATTTTTTTACAACCGGTATAAGTTGTAGTTTTATCTTTTCTAGTGACAGACTTAATTAATAAGATTTTCTGATAATATAAGGAAAATTTATGCCTCACATATATATATGAAATAATGAGTAAGCCTTAATAGGCTAGTGAAAGAAGTTAGTTTATGATTTATTTTCTTGCTCTTTAAAAGCAGTATTAAATAGCTGGTTTTTAGTTAAAATTTGTAACTGTAGAAAGTTCATTCTGTTAGGATCACATATTTGAAAGCAAACTAACAATACCATGTGCTTGCTGGAATAGGTGTTTGAGGACAATTTATGCAAATAGTGATATCTTTTCCTGACATCTCAGGAAAAGATACTACCAAACATTTATGTTATTTGTTACCTGGATCTGTAGTAGATTTTGTAACACAAAGAGGTAAAAGATCTGAGGTACCAGGTAGGGGAGTTCATGGGCAGAGTTAATATGACTTGTCCTGTAATGTTTGAGTGGAATTACATAGTGTTAATTAAGGGATCTAGTGCTATGGTAGAATTTACTCTGCTTGATGATACAGGTTACTGTTCTTCCTAAGAGTAGTTTCTACCTATGATACTTAAAGGGATTGAATTTCACTGTGACTTAGACTAGCTATTTTGAAAAGAGCTATACTAAAATTGATATTTATGTCATTGTAGAAAGTTTGCCTTGAAGTGGAATGAAAATTAGGGTTTTATTTCTTTAGTTTTTATGTTTGACATCCTTTGATTTCTATTTTATAATTCAACTCTTGTGACAAATCATGCTGATGTGGTTTTTCATTTATTTACTTTGCCTATACTGTTAGGAATGCCCTGGAAATAGAATTCATACTGTGTTTTCTGACAGCTTGTTCTCTGAAATACACATGCAAATCTGTTGGTATCTGTTGGTGTATCACTTGGGGGGGTGTGCTGCATTGTAAAGTAATAAAACAGTTTACAGTATTTGCTTTTTGTCAAGAGCTCATGACATATAATATGGAAATACAAAAAAGTGAATTATTTAGAAAAAAAAAGGGAATTTTTTCCTTTTCTGGGCACTTTAGTGTTTTATATATGCTTAGACTCAGGATCTAAGTCCGCTTAGATATAGTTAGCTATTTTGGACTATTTGCCACTTAACCTTGAAAATTTTTCCTTTTCTTATTTTTATTTGTGTGTATGTTATTGGATGTATGTGTGGGGGTTGTATGTGCTTGTTTTAGTTATCTGTCACTTCTCTGTTGTTTGATGAACTTCTTCCATAGTCCTCTTTGGTATCACTTTCTTCATAAATCTTTCCTGACTCCCGAAATCCTTCTGCTGTATTGCTTTTTATTCTTCAAACTGCTATTATAGAATGTCATACTGTATTGTAATTCAGTGTCCATCTGGATTGTGAGCACCTGAGAGGTAGGGCTTTGCCTTGTTTATGTTTACATTTCTAATGCTTTCTATAGTGCATAATACCTAGTAGATCCTCAATACGTATCTATTAAACTGAACTCTTGCCAGGTTGTCATTTGACAGTGTTGTTAGAGTGATGTTTCACACTGCACAGATCTGAAGCAACAGATTGGAAAAGTGGTGGGGAGAATGGCAATCTGTATTCCTTCACTTCCTTGAATCCTTTCTTACAGTTTTGCTTCTTAATTGCAAATGGAAAAATACGTAACTAGCTTCTTAGAGAACTGTATGCAGAGTTAGTATGGAATTAAGGGAAGGATGTTAATAATAGAGTGGTTAATATCCTGTTTTGCTTCTGGCAGTATGTTTAGGTCTGTATTTCTCACTGTATTTTGTATGGTTATGGCCATTATTTGAAGGAGGTATTTTGTATTTGTCTTTACAAGGTAACATGTTTACCAGTACGTACCCGTGAGTTCCTATTAGATTTGGGTTTTCTGAAGTTAGATTTTGTTTTTCTCACCGTTTTCCTCTTAATGAGTGGCCCATCAGTAGAAGGCAGGATTTCTGTAGTTTGAATACTATTGTTGTCCTTATGGAAAATCTTATTGGAGGTCCAAAATTTAAAAAGCTCTGAAAGTTGATCATTTGTGTTTTTCTTTTTTCTTTCTTTCTTTCTTTCTTTTTTTGTTTTTTTTTTAGAGTAAGTGAGGTGAGAAAATATCAACTGGAATTATACCTGTGAATCTGATTTTCTTAATCTAATTTTCCCACATTTGGATTTTTACCACATACGGAAATATTCACATGTTTAATTGCAGGTATTGCCATTGGCGGGTGTTACATCACATATGATACATATACTATTTTATTTTTCTGAAATCTGAAACTAATTTTGAGAAACGTCTGGCTTTTAAAGGTTTAAGAGATGGTGAGCCAGTTTTGTGCCCACTATAGAGATACAGAAATCAGAACAGGATAGATGACTCCCAGAATTATATTTTAGTAGATATGCTAATGTTGATAATGATTTTAGGAATATTATGTCTTAATTGCCTCTATTTGTTCCAGAGACT